GATGTTTTCCTCGGGGCACCAGAATACGTTGACACTTGGCAGTGCTTTCAGTGTGTGTTGGAAGAAAGACTTTAAATAGTCACTGAGGTGGAATTACATTCTATTATAGAGAGAGGGATTGGCACTGCTTGATAGTCGTTAAGTTTAATTCCTCCTTTGAGATATCCATTTGAACTATGTTGTTATTCACAAAGTATCTTAATCTGTTGTCAGATGACTGCTGTGGTATTAGAATAATCAGGCTAGCAGTAATTCTTGAGCTGTATGCATATTGCGTCTAACATATTGCGTGCAGCTCTAACTGTCACATGGTTTTTGTCTTTCTGTGGCAGCTGATGAGTGCCGGAGTGGCTCAGTACCCATCTCTGTACTCGACGCCCGTTCACCCAGAGTCTGGCAAGTGGGATGCTCTCGTCAAAGCCAGTGAGAGTCTGCTGAAGGAGAAGGAGCTAATCATCGAAAGGCACGTTTTTCTAATGACTTTACTGCTCATGTAGGGACGTTTTATGGAGGGCAGGGAATCTTTGATTGTTCATCTTGACTTGATACTGTAGTATTGTACACTTTAGTCCTTCAGTTTATCTCAGCATTAAAGAACATGTTTTTTGTCACAAAATATTAAAGAGTTGACTGTTTTAAATGATTTTATTTAGTAGAAGAGAGAACTGCACAGGCCTTGTTTTTATTAAATTGTTAAGTTAAGTTTTTGACGTTGCTGCGTTCTTGTGTTGATGATTGTTGGACCGGGTTATATTGCAGACAAAAGCAGCACATGACCCAGTTGGAGCAGCGTCTGAGGGAAAGCGAGCTGCAAGTGCACGGAGCCCTCTTGGGCCGAGGAGCTTCTTATGGGGATGTGTGCATGCTGCGGCTACAGGTTGGTGAAAACAGCTCCCACTAACAACACCGAGAACTCTGTTAACTCTGTTTTATACCCACATCCTGCTTACAAACTATTTCCCCTGAAGAACCTTCATTAAAACTTTTGTATCACATGGTGGCTTCATAGGAGGCTCAAAGGGAGAATGTGTTCCTGAGGGCACAGTTTACTGAGCGCACCGACTGCGTTGCCCTGGAAAAGGCAGAGGCAGAGCGCAGACTGGGGGCCGTCGAGGCAGAGACACGGCGACTAACTGAAAGCCTGAAAGAGACATGTGAGAGACACGCAGAAGAGATGAAGAAACAGGAAGAGAGGGTTTGTTCTTGCCTAATGTGTCTTCCTAACATACAGTTTTGAAAAATGGCACTGATAAGTTATGTGTGACAAAATGTGTTCAAACTGTTCACTTTGCTTCTATTTTAGTGCCATTTATTGATTGTGAACTGCATTTAATGTTCTGTACTTTGTTTGTAATGAAGAGAACCTGTTAAAATCCTGTCAAATTTCTTGCCACAGCATTTCCGGACACCTGATCTTATAGAAACAAAACACTGTGCAGATACTTCAGCTCTGTACATAAATAGATGTTGTGTATAACTGGAGGCTTAACAACTTCACTTACTCATTTTCTTAGAGAAAGATGAAAGAGAGCAGCTAAAGTGGTTTCCGTCATGTGACGGTGTTTGTGGGAACAGATTGTCACACGTCTCGCTTCCAGTTCTCTCACTTACTGTGGGTTATAAGTTGGTGTAGCACTTATTACTTTTTGAGCATACTATTTTCCCACTTACCACGTTTGCCTCTTTGTGCAGATCCGCAGTCGAGACAAGCACATCAACAACCTGAAGAAGAAGTGTCAGAAGGAGTCTGAGCTGAAGCGAGAGAACCAGCAGCGTATTGAAACTCTGGAGCGCTATCTAGCTGACCTGCCCACCTTGGAGGACTACCAGAGCCAGAACAAGCAGGTTAGGACCGACTGAGCCATTCTTACTGGGTCTGCTCTGATTTCTGTGGGTGAATCATTAAACTAGGGATGGCTCAATACCACTTTTTCATGTCTGATACCGCGACCTTGAGTATCTGCCAATACGATACTTTCTTATTCCCTCTCATAAATAACTAAACTTTTAATAATACATTTGTATGGATGCACTTGGCTTAAACTAGACATCTAAAGAAGATCATGCTGAAACTGTGGAACAAATATTCTGTTCCCATGAATGGAAAAATACACTGCCCACATCCATGATTCAGTACTGCTGTTTTTGATTGGTCAGCGCTATTCAAACATTTAAATTTGCTACATTTAACGTAGACAAATGAAACCTTTTGTTTTTTGTATCAGCTTCTAGAGGCCGAAAAGCAGGTCACTCAGCTACAAGATAAAGTGAGAGACTTGGAGGTCTGTCTGGAGACAACGTGCTCACAACTGCGGGAAAAAGACACACATCTGGAAGAACAGAAACGCAGGGAGAGAGACCTGCTGACCACCATTACTGAGTATGTACACACACAGTCAGACAGCTGCGTACCATCTTCTCACTGCACATGTTCTTTTAAACAGTACTAACGCTGCATAATGTGTTCTGCCTTTTTATTTTGGTCTTCATCAGTATGCAGCAGCGGGTACAGCAGGGCCTTGAGGATGGAGCCAGGCTGCCTTCCCTGGATGTCGAGAAGCTCAGAGGAGAGAACAACGCTTTAAGAGAGGAGCAGCAGAGACTGAAAAAGGTCTGATTGTCTGTTTCGTGTGTTTTCTCTTTAAAAGCTCATCTGGTTACTTGTGGGACAGCTTTTATTTATGAAGTGCAGTGGGTGTACAAGGACATTTGGTGAATGGGGCTACGGCAAAAAATATCACTAAATGCATTATTAATACTGTAGTTGAGCTGGAAACTTTCCAAATGAACCCTCCCCATGATATGTCGATAATTGCATTATGTCCCTTCTTGCATCACCTGTGCAGACTTGTATAACAGCCCCAAAATACCAAGAGTACAGTTAAATTGGTTCAGATTTACCTCTCCTAACTATTGTAATACAGAAGCAGTTTATATTGACCCCAAATGACTTCGACTTCAGAAAGTTGATCTGGCTGAGTGAGGTTAGAGGAAGTGCGTATTCGGTTCAGTTTGAACAAACAGGAAGTGTTCATTTCTCTGGGAGTGAGTTTCTGTAGCAGCAAACTGTTAGTTTAGTTTTATATGTTAGTAATAAGTAATATTTATTGTCTGGTTTGTCATTGTTTTTAGAGTGTAGCTACTTCCTTTTTAATATCTTCTTTGTAATATTCACCTAGTGTGTGCTTCAACTGCAAAGTGAACTCTCTCGATCGTAAACACACACGCACAGACCTCACAACCTCCCAGTCCCACAGAACAGGGATGAGACATCACTTGATCATTTGATTAAAACTAAAGCAGTAGGAGTTGATTGCTGCAATATGTCCAAGTAGAGCCATGTTGTTTTAAAGCTCAGCTCTTCTTTTTTTGCAGGTCATTGAGAAGCAGCACCGAATGATGGAACAGCTTGGCTCTCAGATCCAGGTGGTTATCTGCATACACAACGAGTCTCAGTGATTTGTGTGGTTACGGTCCTGTTTTGTTGTCTCTTAACGTCTATTATTGTTTGTTTGGGTCTGCAGGCCTTGGAGGAACAGGTCTCTCAGGAAGAGAACAGCTCTCAGGCTCTCAGAGAAGAGGTGTTGGCCAAAGAGCAGAATGTGTTAGAGCTCCACACAGCCATGAAGGAGGTGAGCGCATCTTGTTCCTTTGTAAACTTGAACTTGAACTTGAACTTGAACTGAATCTGAATTTGACTGGAAAATGTTTACTGTGTTTCAGCTGTCAGTCCAGAACCAGGAACTGATTGAGCAGAATCTGACCCTGCAGGACCAAATGAGCGATCCAGATCAGCGGGGCACTAGCCAGGCCTCCTCTACCCTGCAGCCAGCTGGGGCTCGCCTCACGCAGAGGCTACACCTAGAGATCGCCTCCTGCCTGAGTGACCTGCGCTCCCTGTGCAGCATTCTGACCCAGAGAGCTCAGGGACAAGACCCAAACCTCACCCTGCTGCTCGGTCTCGCATGTAAGCACCACTTGAATCTTACTCTTTCTCTTGCTGATGATAGAGTTAACAGACTCGGATCAAGAAAGTTGTACAACGTGGATTACAGTTGTGTTTTGTTTTGTTTCCCCCAGCTCCTCTACCAGTGGCAGAGCAGGGAGAGGACTGGATGAATCCAGAGGTGCTGCAGAAGAAGCTGGTTGAGGCTCAACAGCTCCGTCGAGACGTGGAGGAACTACGTAACGTAATACTGGACCGATATGCGCAGGACATGGGAGAAAACTGCATCACCCAATAACCTTGCCAGCCAGGCAATGGAAGAGACTTGTGTAAGCCCCACTTCACCTCTGAAGCATCTAAAACGGGCTTGTTTTCAGTTACTGAATGTCAGAAAGTGGACTGGATTTTAATTTTCTTAAAATGAGGACAGAGGAAAGCCCAAATGGTTTAGCTTTGACTTCTCTCGACTGACTTTACGTCAATTCTCAAGCCTGCTTGTAGCTAAGAACCCTCCCACCCCCCCTGGTGAGTTCATCTATTTCAGTCCAAGGGCTAACAGAAAATAACTTACCTCTAATACTTGATCCTTAAGCATTGTGTGTGTGTGTGTGTGTGTTGTTTTTTTAAATAATGATGACATGATACTGTCAGTTACCAAACAGTCTTACTTTTTGTTCCACTCTGGTGGAAGTATTTGTGTAGAAGTCCCACAAATATAACTTATTTAAATCTTAATTTCCCTCTCCAGGGGAATTATTGAAGAAGTGGTTGACAATCAACTATAAATATTTAGAATCTGTGCTTTTAACTGAATTCACAAGGAACATGTTACTAACACGCCATTATTTAAAATGGTGAACACTGTAACATCAGACTGTGCTGTGAGGTATAAGACTTGACAACTGAAGGTTGTTTAATACCAAATCAGCTTCTCACACCAACAGGCCTCCAACAGTTTTATTACCAAAGAAACTCTGGTCGAAGCAGTTGTGCAAGTCTGTGAATGTTTTGTGAATGCTTCTCTCTGCTGCAGGCCTCCTCCTGAATGAACACCAACATGTGCCTTTCTGTCACGTTCGCAACCACAATGCTAATTTGTTTTTGTTTTTTTAGACCAACCACAAAGGGCTGTTTGCAGCTGACTCTTCCAATATGACCTTTCTCTCAGTGTATCAACCAGTAGGATAGTCAATACATTCCCTGACACTGAATGTAGCAGATAACTTTGGGTCACATCACAGAACTTGTGGAGGCCCCCCGACACTGTTTTGTTTGATTTCTTTTTGTTCCTGGTAGATAGTCTGTGTGACGTTTTTAGAATCTGCTCCACGTAGATGAATAACTTCACAGGATACTGTACATTTCAGGTTGATAATGGCTGACTTGTGTTCGACAGTGTGGTTAAATGATAAATGTATGACTGAGAAACAGTATTAATCTTCAGTATTATTTATTTTCTTCGTTTGCATTGACAACTCAGTGAGTCCTAATGTGTTGCTGTAACAATGTGCTAATGTGTTCGAGCAGACTTGGCATCCACATTGTGTAAAGGTCCCATGAAGTGGCTCTTAGATAGTACTTTTCTCCTGTGCTTTGATGTGTGTGTCATATCAGATGAGATGTTGGGGCTCAATTTACTGACAGGAGGGACAAAGATTGGCAGCACTCAGTGAGGCTCTTTAACCTTCTTCGGGGACGGACGTGTTTTTAATTCTACGTGATGATGATGGGACGGGTTGGCTGGATCACCCCAAAATCAGAAATCACATTGTACTGGACGTAATTTTATATTTGCCCTGAGTGAGGATAAGCCATTGAAAAAAAAAACGTGACACTTTAAAGGAAGAGAAAGGGATTTTAATATAAAAAATATGCAACAATTACTCTTGACAACAGAACACCCAGGGACACACAAGCCATTTTATCACTTCATGGGACCTTTTTTAAAAGTCCAATTAGCACAAGATTTATCTTTGGAAAGTCAGGCTCCGCATGCCTTAACATCTCAAATGTTTTTGCAAAAGGGAAAAAGATGTTTATATTTTCATACTTTTGTCCTTGTTTGTATTTGCATATTTTAGAAATAAAGTTTTCAACATTTTGTTTTGTTTTAATTAGTTTTGAATTCCAGTTTATTCCGTGTTGATCAGTATTTCATCCCCTCTGTGCAGAAAGCCGTGCACAGCAGCTTTCTATAACTAGGGATGCTACGTATGTTGGATTGGTATTGGCTGTTTGAATGGATGTAACTGATACTGCAATCACAGTGGACCACCAAACACTCCCTGTTATGTAACATAAAACATCTGAGCATTGGTAGTAGATCGGTCCTCAGTAGCACAGCGAGCCTTTTTCACAGCAGACATCTCGACATGTCACAGTAGGAAGATAACAGTTGTGTAAATAATAAAGATTAATGATGGTTGAATTCCATTCAGCTTCACGACATACTGCCACAGACAGACAGACAGACAGAACAAAGCCATTATTATTGTTATTAGCATCACCTGTGCTTTTGTGAAAAAAGGCTGTTTTTAAAAAAAAAACATCCCGTAAAAGTCCAATATAACCGTTTATTTTATTGACCTCCATCTGAATGAGGCTGTTTCCTCTTTCGCAGCAGCAGAGTAACGTTAGTCGTGAGTCCACATGATTGGAGCGTCTGGCAGTCGTCACCGTAGCAGCACTGTGGGTACGCGCTGATGATGTCATAACCGGGGAGACCACCTCCTCTGTAACAACAAGCAACCAGTGTCACATGTTGTAAAGAGAGACGCTAACAGAAAGACAGTGTCAGTGCAGGAGGATATGTTCTCACCTGTGTTTGTCCAGATATTGCCGCAGGTGGCCGATTGTTTCTGAGAAGCACATTTTCAATATGAAAGTATGATTCCCGTCTTCTGACTTCACCTTGAGTGTGATAACATCACGGGCAGACGAGGGCCGGTCAGAGCTACATGTCTGCAGTCTGTAGGGCACAAAATCCAAACACACTTGATACGATAGACTGGTCAGAGAGTCACTTGGGGCGTCACAGATCTGAATCCCAGACCCCGTCACAAGCTAACGAGTGCTGGCCGTTCATGCCCTATTTTTCCGACCAGTGCGTACAGTAATCTCCAGAATCTTGACAATCAGCCACAGCGTACATCAGCATTTTAATCATGCTTTACATCATGTAGCCTGTTGGTGGATCTAGTAATTCCTTTAACCCCATAATCCCTGTTTTGCCTTATAAATTCTACATGGTTGTAAAGTTAGATAATGATACACAGGACATCTTGTATCTTACACTGACTTAAATTCCAAAATGCAATATTTCCCAAATGGAAATACTCTAGATCCCCGCATCACAAATCATGTCATCACATTTCTGTGTATTTGAACGTTTGTCTGAGCAACCAATACTGGTAAGTGAGTCGGTTTAGGCAACAAAATTGTGCTCACACAATGAACGACAAAATGTTTAATACCTCTCTTTCATCGCTTGCAGCACCGGTGTGTCTATGAGGATGACTGAGTTGCTGCTCTGGGCATCAGATGAAACCTAGTGAAAGTACTTGTTAGATCATTTGCATACTGTAGTGAGAGTACATTCAGCACAAGCACAGACAGGCAAGACACTGTAGTGATCATCTGCCTAACAGGAGCTCACCTGCAGGACAGCCCTCACTGAGTCCCTGATATCGATCACACGACCAGCCCTTACTACCACCTTCGGTAACCTGTTCAGGAACTGATCCACACTCAGCCTCTTGCCTGTGGCCAGAAGAAAACACGAGGATAAGAATGAAGACTGGGGAGACATTTGGGAGTATCTGTGTGCTGTTTGCAAGACAGACCGGGTAGCTGAGAGCTGACGCCATCTTTCTCCCCACGAACAGCCTGTCCTTCACCGGGAAATTTCTTCCACGGCAGCCTGAAGATGAATTCCTCATCTCGTCTGTCGTGAACCTGCACAAAAATGACTTGTGATAAGGAGCAGAGTCGCACATTTACACATTTACTCTCAAACGGAAACAAACCTCGAAAGGTACGCCATCTGGGAATCTCTCCTGAAGCTCAGATGGGAAGTACCCGTCCATCAGATCTTGCATGCAGCGCTGCAAAGACCAAAGACGGAGGATTTGAACCACCAAAGAATCCAGTTTAAAGTATTGAATTTTCTGCCGCTTTAGCGAGCTTACCTGGGTGCTGCGCTCCTGATAAGAGCGGAAAGGACCCTCAAACATGACCACCCCGTTGCTGTAGAGGCTCAGTTGAATAGGATCCTTCTTTGCCAAATGTGCCCCTGTGGCTGTCGATTGCACAAAACACTCTCCCTCCCCCGCGAGGACGTTCAGCTCCCTGATCCTCTGCAGCACGAGGTCAAAGTTCATGTGGAAGCTCCTGACCTCGGAGGGGTCTGCACAGGACAGATACCCAGTTAGGAACCATTTTAGGTAGAAGATAATGGTGAATATGTTTATGGAAAGCTTGAAGCTTATGAAGAAGAGTGGAGGTGGAAACTACCTGGCTGCCAGAGGCCTCGCTCTGCGTTATGTGGCTGCTCACTTTCAGCTGAGTCACTGCTCTCGCCGTCTCCCACCCAGATCAAACCGTAGTCGTTTAGAAAGCTCTGTAAGATATTGATCGGCAGGATTCAGAGCGGTGCAATCACAATGTAAACGCATGAATGAAATGTTTTATTAAATCAACTTACCTCCATTTCACACACTTGGCTCTGGAGGTGTTGGCACCTTCTTTCAAGATCGTCTCTACCACTCGGATCATGTGTGCACCCTAAACACACACAAACACAAGCACACGCACACACACACACGCACACACACACACACACACACACAGAAAAGATACAGCCATCAAACCCTTTTATATAGAAATATAGAGAATATATCAAACTCAGGTCTTGAGATGTTACCAGATTCTTTCAGAAGCCTCAGTTTTTCCTCCAAGACTGTAATCCTTTTATCCTTTAGAAGAAAATTTAAAGTGAGTTTGACATTAACAATTTAGCTGTTTGTCTGGAGGAGGTGTGTGTTCATCTGGAG